CATAACTAAGAATTCGTAAAGCCTATATCTTGTTCGGAATGCTGTTATCCACTCGTATCTAGCTGCTATACGTATTGCGTAAAACGCATCGCGTAGGTTAATCTTCGTATACTAGTCTAATCTAGTTAATCGGTCTTACATTTCTTCGATGTTCGGTAGTAGGTACCGATTCTTAATTGTGATGTCGTTAAGTCGTCTAAAATCGACTACTAGCCGTCCTTCGTCTAATCCGGCTTTCGGAACGAACATTACTAGTAAAGCTGCCGAGGATGTCGACTTCCGTATCTAGCCTTTTTCTAATTTCTCTTTTAGCTACTTGTCTAGGGTTTTAAGCTCTTTCTTAGACATTGCGTATAAGGGTCCCTATAGAGGCTCTTTCCTAGGCTGTAAGTATATTTTATAATCCTATAGTTAGTGTTTAGGTAAGGCTGCCTTGCCTCTCTCCTCTTTAAAGAGTCGCTTCTACTTAGTATACTCTTTAGGAATGTCTAGGTCCGAGATTCTAGCTTCATTCTTCGATAGCGTATAACTTCTATCCTTCCCGTAATCATTATTGTAACCCTCCTAACCTAACGGTAGTGTCGATCCGGGTTGAATACGGTTCTCCGTAATTCCTATCGACGCAAACGTCTTACGAATCGCCCTACGTTTGTTAATCTCATCTGCCTGCGAACGCTGCCGCTATATAGGTTAAATGCCGATTATATAGTCGCATTCCTTAAATATAAGTACTCCTTTTCTCCAGTCTACGACTAGGTTATGCTTTCTTAACTAAGGTATGCCTAATATAATGTTATAACTGGCTATGTTAGTAATATCTAAGACAATCTCCTCGTAGTGCTATTAGATAGCTAGTAGTAACGGTATCGTTTCTCGTTCTATACTAGGTAGCGGTAACCTATCTACTGCTATAAGTTTATACGCTCCTTCTCTTCTACTTCGGGTTACGATCCCTCGGCTTTTAACGAATAATTCGGAGGCAAAGTTCCCGCTCGCTCCGGAATCTATTAATATACTCGTCGGGTGCCCGTTAACGATAACTTTTATACGGAAGACTGCTGTTAATGCTTAAGCGCTTTCGGTATTAAGGAACTCTCTTAGAACGCTCTAATCTAGAGAGTTGGTCCGTTTCCCGACTAATTAGTAGCCTAACGTTGTTCTAACTAGTTACGGATCCGTAGTCCTGCCGTTCGTGCTTCTTCGGCATATAATTTTTCCTCGAGGGTATCGTTGCATATATCTTGTCCCTACGCTGCTATAGCCTTTCGGTATTACTGATTTAATCGCTAGACCGTCTAACGTATATCTTAAGTAATAATCGTCCTTTCGTCGGGTAGGACGTATCCGTAAGGCGTAATTGTGCTTCCTATCGGTACTCGCTCCGTAATGAAGTTATAGTACGTATAGTCTATAGGTATCCGGGGGTGATTCTAGAATTTTGCCCGTAAGCTTATCTAGAAATAATCAAATTAGATAGGATCGACCTTCCGTTGTCCGTTAACCTTTAGAAACATTTCCTCGTATTTGCGTACTAGATACAAGGCGATTGTTCGCGCTACTATAGGTATATCTATTGTAAACGTAAGGATCGTATCGTCGTTAATCCCGAATTCGTCTTCACTTTCTTTATTCGTAGTTTCTTCCTCGGTATCTAGACTTCCTTCTGAATCTTCTTGCTGTTCCTCCTCTTGCTAAGGGGACTCCGGTACTTCTAGGATAGCTCCTAACTCCTCCCCGGGAGGGAATGAAGCTTCCGGATCTCGGTTTTCTTTATCGTCGGTATCTAAGCAAGATTTATCAATCGTTTCTTCTTCTAACTAGGATTTCGCATCTTCTCGTACGAGTCGCCTAATCTAAGGGAAAAATCTTGCTTCTACTTTAGTAGAATAATGAATTTGGCATTAGTCGTCGTAATAGAATCTCTAGTAAAGGGCTCTATATACGGGTTCTTGTCGTCGTGCTATTATATAGATTTGTCGTAGCTCTTCCTTTACGACCTCTACGTAGGTCCTCGGCGCGTTATTAATAGAGTATAGCTCTACTACTATTCGGTAGCCTTCTCTGCCCGAGTCCTTTCGTTGTATTATATTAAACTGTTCGCGTCGTACTATATTCTTACCGCGGCAGTTCCGTGCTATATAGCCTTCCTTGCTATACGTATAGTAAGTCAATCTTCCTACTTTCTTAGGCGAACTCTTGCCTTTTCTTCCTTTAATTGCTCGACCCTTCTAGGTAGCGTCTAGCTCTATTAGTTGCGTACCGTAGTAGTTGTTCCCTTTTGGTTTATCGTAGGTACTATAGTTTCGTCTATTATCGTATCTAGGAGTATAACTAGCTTTTCTAGAAGTCTTAGAATCGTAACGTCGTTCTAAAGCTCGTTCGTAGAGCCTATCGTCGAGATCGATCGTAACCTTAACTAATATTCCTATATCATCTATTTTTCTACCGTCGCGTATAAGCTCGTCTTTAACGTTATCCTTAAGACCTCGCCGATACATTGTTATAAGAGCTTCGTCGTCTCAATCCGTAAGTTAGGCGTATTCCTAAAATTTAGCGGCGTAATCGGTATATAACCCCTTCTAAGTTAAATGTTAGATAACCCTAACTGCGGTAGCAACTTCGTTAGAAGATCTAAAGACCTTCTTTATCGTACGCTTAAGATTTTCATAGCTTACGAAGATTCTATCCGAATTGTCGGTCCCGTTGCTATCTAGATAGGTCCTAAGAAATGGTTTAACCTAATGCTAAGCCCTACCTCGTATAAACGTCGTTACGAAGACTAGCTTTAAGTTATCTTAAACCTGGTTGAATATAAAATATATATCTATCTAGCTAACCTAGGTATCGAATTTGTCTCGGTCGCCGTAATAAAAGTCTAGCTTTCCGATCTTAAGAGAATCGTTTCCGGTATAGGTTCCGAGTATATTGCTAGCACTAGAGGTAGTACGTCGAGTACTGCCTGTCTCGCTAGGGGCGGGAGTTCCCCTTCCGACTTATAATAAGGCACTCATCCTAAGGGCGTTCAAAGTATTACGGTTACTCGCGACAGATCGTTAGGTAACTTCTTATTACGTGCAAGCCGAGGCTTCTTTAGAGAGGCTAATACAAGCGGGAGGCAGAGACAGAATAATTGGTACAAAGGTAATTCCAATCAGTAAGTAGGTAATATAAGTTAAACGCCTCGAGCTATAAGGGCATTCCGGCGTTCCTAAATACAAAGGAGACATCTTGTCTATAGTCGTAAGCGACGTAAGCGACGCTGTCGCTCTCGACCGCTCCTATCGCTCCTAGTAAGATAGAGCGACAGCTTAGCCTACTAGTCTTAGCGTCGCTCTAAGATTATGTAAGGACTCTAACCAATCAGATCCGTAACAGCTAGCCGGGGTCGATCTTGCGGATAATAGGTTACTCCTCGATCTTTCCGACCCTTTAAGCGAAGCGAACCTCTACTACTACACTTATAATAGCCTTTACCTATAGAAACTAGACGAGCTATGTTTTTTTGAAAAGATAAGATAAGATTAACACTTGAAGGCTGCTAAACCTAACTAATTAGAGCTAGCGAAACTACGAATAATAATAGTCCTCGTAATAATAAGAATAAACCCTCGGAAGCGGACAACCCTCGGAAGCGGACATTGCTAAGTCTTTTAAGAGTAGACGCAAAGAACTCGATACGATATTACTTAGAACGGAGGCAGTGCTATAATACCTCGTACGTCTACCTATTATAGTAGGGAAGACGCGCTCGTATTATAATTAGTCGAAGGCCCTTAATTCTTATAGATATATATCACTTTATAGTTTATTGTATATAGAGATAGCGCAGTTAGAGTTGTATATTGTGTTGTTTAGAGGTAAGGTTTGATATAGTTATATAATTAGGTAGTTAAGTGTTTAATTTAGTACGGCTAAGCGGCTTATTAGACTTGCTAAGTTAGTAGCAATAGAGGTCGAGATTGGAATATAGACAGGCTACGAGGGCGCGGCCTTTAGAAGGGAAGCGTGTATTAGGACCAAAGAGGCTATACGTAATTAGTATATAATTAGGCCAAGTAAAGCTAGGGTCTTAGTGCCTTAGGCAGGGCTTAGCGCTTAGCGTTAGGCTAACTAGCCTACCTTCCTCCTTCTCCTCCTAGTTCTCTATCGAATACTACTTGTACCTACTACTACCCTATCTACCTGCTAATATACCCTTCTTACAATTAGGTAGTTAAGCGTTTAATTTAGCGTAGCTAAATAGCTTAGTTAATCTACTAAGTTAGCGGCAACGGAGATTAGGTTAGAATATAGACAGGCTACGAGGGCGCGGCCTTTAGAAGGGAAGCGTATATTAGAGGTTATACGTAATTAGTATATAACTAGACTAAGTAAAGCTAGGGTCCTAATACCTTAGATAGGGCTTAGTGCTTAGCGTTAGGCTAACTAGCCTGCCTTCCTCCCTCTCCTCTTAGATCTCTATCGAATACTATACTAATTTACTACTACCCTATCTATCTACTAATATAACCCTTTTTATATTCGCTAAGAGAAAGAAAGATATTACCTTTTCTAGGAATATTGCCTTACGTAGTCGGATACTATACTTCGTCGCTATCGCTCGTATCTCGCGAGTCTAAGTACTTACTTCGCTCGTAAGCTCGCCTCGCTTATCTACTAGGTTAAGACCTCTAACGTATTACTAGTACTTAAGCGGACTATAGGGCTAACGTTACTATCCTCGCTATTAGCGAGGGTTTAAAGGTCTTTAACGTATAGTAATAAGATATCGATAGTATCGCTAGGGCTTAGCTTAAAGTCTAGGTTAATTAGCTACTACGGCGTACTTTAGTATCGAGATAAAATAGAGTCCTTACTTTTCTACCCTATAGGAGCTATAAATACGCTATACTACGGAATACTAAACTTTCTACTACGTCGATAATATAAGAAGAGAAGAGTAAAGTGTAGGTTAAAGTCGACGCGTTTCGGGAAAAGCGTTAATAGGCGAATTGTTAATTGGCGTGGGGTCCTCTTATCATTCGTCATCATCATCATATATACAGCGGACATTCTCACAGCTCTATCACATGCATTTCCCTTCCAAATCGCGGAAAGTCCATCATCCCCAACCCATGCCTCAAACCCGCATACCTCGGATTACCAGCTTTACTGTTTCCGTCACCTTGAGAACAATTCAGCGGCGGTAGCGTCCTCGTATACGTACTGTTCCCTGGGCCTTCGGAAGAATAAGTGCTATTGCGTTTAGTATCCTTCGTGCCCGTCGCAACATCAACACCATAATTCGTGCGATTCCAAATCGCGTACGCAGCTTTAGGTTGAAACCAGGGAACTTCGTGCCCACTTTCCCAAACTCTCGTGAAAGAGAACCGACCATACTGTCTGACCTCACCATACTCTTTGCCATCGACGACGAGTTTCGCGTAGCCGGCTTTTCGGAACTTTTCTGTGCCCGTCCAGTTCGCGGTCAAAGATACGTCTTCGCCACCAGGCCAGGCACAGATGTAATCTGCGTCGCCGTACACGAGTGCGATTTGGACGTCGGGGTAGGAGAGCGTTTTTTCGATTTGTGGGAGGTAACTCATTGCGTAGTCTCCGGAGAGACTGAAGGCGTTGTAGATGAAGTAGTTCGCGCTACTCGTATAATTCAAATCCACGCCCAAAGCATTTTGAACATCAGAGGTACCGAGTAGCTGCGTCCAGGAGTGAGGAGGGACATCGAGACCTTCGCCACCACAGACTCGAATATCATAGACTCCCCTATCTTCGCCGAAGGAGTAGTAAAGCCCCTCGACATCGTTTCGGCATATGAATTGTGCGGCGGCACATTGGTAGCGTTTCCAAGAGTCATCGGCATAGTCAGCATACACTTGACAATATTTGAGGTTGTCCTGGCAGCCACCTTCACGGTACATGTTGAATTTTCCGTGGTTGTAGATTGTGTCATTCAGGAGCTTCGCACCGTAAGGGTTGTTCTGTGTGAACTCAAACACGTGCTTGGCTTGAATTGCCATATCGATCCAACCGTTGACGATGCCGAAGACTTTGAAATTGAGCTTGCGCCCAGTCAATTTCTGCTCCTCGATTTTCTGGTTTTCTTCGTAGAATTTACTCGCGAATGCGGGCCCCAGATGTCCTCCGTATGATTCAGCCCAGAAGATGAAGTCTGTGGATTTGACTTTGTCGTTCGTCAACGAAGGTAGCGCACCATACAGTGCTTGCAAGACTTCCCAAGCGGTATTTGCCGCCAGTGTGGACGTGTCATTGCCTGTGTAAACGGAATTTCTAAAGCGTCCCTTCCCAGTCGTACGGTTCGCAATCTCCTGAGGTCGAATCAAATCGTAATCATCCAAGTAGCCTTCTACCTTGGTGCTGTAGGAGAAACCAGCACCGACGGGCTGCGAGAGGAACAAAAGATTGCTCGTGTTGGACCAAGAATATTCACGGACATGCGTTTTCAACGTCTCATTAGATACATAGCACGGACCGACCTCCTCGAAGAGACCGATTAAAGAATCTGATCCAGGCCCACCGTTCTGCCAGAGCGTGACCGGATCATTGGCTGGATCGCGTCGAGACTCGAAGAACCAGAAGAAAATGTGGATAGTCTCGCCAATGTCGATGTAGCCACTGTATGATTTCACTCCAGGAGTCGTTTCGCAAATCTCAGGCTCTTTGTATCGAATCGTCGCTCCATTTGGAGATTTAATCGTCTTGACGTCTTTTGGCTGATTAGGAACTCCACGGTTTTCGAGTACCGTCGCCTCAGCCAGCAGCACGAGAGCAAGTAGCCACTTCAACGCCATTCTAACGCTGCGATACCTACCGTTTCAGGACCGGTGACGTATTTAGTTTAAGGCGGCATAGAGAGCAAGATTTCAACGCGCAAGTAATACCACGAATTGCCGCGCATCTCACCCCCCAAAAGTCAGCATTGCGTGCAACCCTTACCAGATTCTCCTCTTATCTCGAACTTAGACCACATGGCTGCCAGCATTGGCATCGACCCCATGCTCGAAGCAAGTACCGGCGCAGGTGAGAGAAGAAAATACGATGTTGTTTGCGGCCAGAGTTGCATCGTTGGGTCGCCCTCCGCTTGATGACAGCTTCTACCTGTACATTACTCTCATGAGATGCAGCAGCCAGCCTTATCCTGAGTCCGCGCCCTTGCCTCATAGGCGCGCGAAGCGGAAGTCTTGAGGCCTTCTCCATCGCGCATTTGTTGGCGCGATCTCGCAGCTTGGTGGTCTCTTCGGCTGTCCACGATGTAACATGGATGGCTGTTGTTGGGGAGCAAGAACTGGCGCAGTGGAAGGCGAGCCCATCCCCGGCGAATCGGCCCGGGAACCTGTTCTGCGAGACGTGTTGATGTATGAGTCTGTGACTGTAGAAGAGAAGCAAAACGAGATGCATTGCGACTCGCGCGGTTAAAGTGAGAAAATGCCAAGCCTGCCAGGCGATCCCGAACAATTCACTTCTCGGCCGGACATGCTGTTCCGAGAGTCCCCGCATTGATGCTGAGCTGACTCCGCGCATAGCCTCATGCGACCTTACGAGAGACCGCACGTTCTACACGCAGGAGCTCGAGGACACGGGTGGTACCGCAAACTGCCAAATGAGCTGCAGCAAGTGCTACGCTATCAGGCATACACATCAACCGAGCGGCGCGTGGTCGCGCTGTATGTCAGTGCTCCAGCGGAACCTGGTTGCTGGGAGGCCGACATATCGTCAACCGTGCATGTCCGAGTCGCACATATAGCGTAACATATCATGGCCTCTCCCGACCCGAACCGAGATCGACAATCAATCGCCAGTGCTTCCTCTGAGACTCTGCAGTCGGCCGCGCAGAAAGGCGCACCGTCAGCGTCGCCAGCAAACGCCAACAGCTCGAATGCGCCAGCGGCAACAGCCTCGAAACCTGAGACCACACAAACTTCTCCCAAACGGAGAGCATCAGATGTAAATGGGACGAGTACGGGCGACAACAATGGCGAGGGCAAGAAGAAGCGGCGCAAAGTTAACCATGCCTGTGTATATTGCCGTCGAAGCCATATGACTTGCGATCTAGAAAGACCGTGCGCGAGATGCGTAAAGCGAGACATAGGACATTTGTGCCATGACGAACCTCGAGATCCTCCCAAGAGACAAAAGAGCGACGTGTTGAACGTGGCAGAGATCGCGCCTGCTCCAGGCCAGCAAGATGGAATGGTTGGTGTGGAGAACGGACAAGCTCAGGCTCAAGCCAACGGCATGCTCAATGGTGGAGGAAGGGCAGGGCCACAGCAAATAACCCAGCCAGCGCCTATATCGCCTACTTCCATTCAACGACCTATTCCTCAGCGAGGTGGAAGTACTGCGGGAAGTGTCCTGCAGAATCTTGATTGGAACAGCTCACATGTACCCAATCAGTTCCAGGACATGCACCACCTACATCCGAATTACATGTTCAATACCTCGGAGGTGAATAATGAGTACAATCTGCTGAGCGACTTCTTGTCATCTTCACTGATCGACGACGGAGCCGCTTATAATGATGCGGATGCCGTGCAGACGCTATTCAACGATCCTCTGATCAGCCCGAGTAGTATGAATGCGTTGGCGACTAGCAATCTCGCCCAGCAAAACCCTGCTCTTCAGGCAGTGCAGGCACAAGCTGGAAACGAAATAAGTAGGCCAACAAGCACGCTGCCTGTCGACTCCCGAGCACGAGATAAGTTCTACTTGACCGCTGCTGATCCAGCCGGACTGAGCTCAGCAGAGGACCGACTACACAAGCTTCTCAAAGCAAAGTATGATGCCGGGATGCTGAAGCCTTTTAATTACGTGAAGGGCTATGCGCGCTTGAATCAATACATGTCCAAACATCTCACCCGAGAAAGTCAACTGCGAATTCTGAAACAGCTCGATCGGTTCCGACCCAAATTTCGCGAAGCAATGCAGAGTCTCACCGACATGCAACTCGTCCTCGTCGAAATGTGGTTCGAGCGAAGTTTGATGGAATACGACCGAGTCTTCGCATCAATGGCAATCCCAGCTTGCTGTTGGCGAAGAACGGGCGAAGTCTTTCGAGGCAATGGTCAGATGGCAGAACTGATAGGAAGACCCGTAAGCGACTTACGAGACGGCAAGATGGCAATTCATGAAATCATCGCCGAGGACAGCCTCGTGAGCTATTGGGAGAAGTTCGGCGCTATTGCTTTCGATCAGAGTCAGAAAGCTATACTTACGAGTTGTGCTTTGAAACGTCCTGCTGGATTGACTGAAAGTCCTGCGAAGAATGGTACCAGCGCTGGACAGGAGTGTAACGGGCCGATGGAGACGATAAAGTGTTGTTTCTCGTTTACCATTCGACGAGACACGCATAATATGTGAGTAAAGTCATACGTTGTGAGTTGCGATTTGGATGCTGATTTGTCCGCAGCCCGTCTCTCATCGTCGGGAACTTCTTACCCATAACACCGAGACCTCAGTCGAACGGGCAAGGCCAATAGTGTTGCCTGCCCGCTGAGACCGATGACTCGGATGGATAGTGGCAGCTTCTCGGGCAACCATGAATGGATAATGTGTACATACTTCGCTGCCTCAAGAGTATTTCCAAAGCTTCGATAAGCATAATGACCAGCGCTCACACTTCGCAGCTCATCTCCTTTTTTCTCCTCTTACATCAGATCTCCCACGTCACTGTACAGCTCCCATTCTCCCTATCTTGATTTTGGTGTTTTGCAATCCCCCTTACGAAGAGCTTTTAGCGAATATGGGTCTTGGAGACAGTTCTGATCCTGCTTGCAATCCACTGCACAAGCACAACCCCCGTTACCATCGTCACAAAAGGCCGTTACTGAAGCTGTTGGATAATGTTTGGCGTAGTATGCGCTGCAGACACCACTGCAGTTCGTCAACTATTTCGAGACGTTAGCCGAGCCAGGAGGCCGAGTAGGAGCTAAGAGGAGATCGTACCGTGCATTTGCAAACTTGACTGGTACATGTACCAACAACGTATGGGACGAATTCCAGTTGGGCATCCACTTGACAGCCTACTTGGCAATCGGCATTGCTTATGCACTAGTCACCCAATGTTAGTGAGGGCGATGTTGGAAGGGATGCATGCGGGGGATAGATACTGCAGCTCCGTCCCCGTGGGCGGGAGGCTGGGCGGGAGGCTTGGCGGGAGGCTTGGCGGGAGGCTTGGCGGCCCTGACATTATGCCAATTCATAGCAGCTTGAGCTGTGGTGCTCAGCCCGAGGACAAGGAGGGCGATGGTCTTGATTGTTGGTGCGAGTAGCATGGTGCGAGTGAGAGGGGTGTTGTGGAGAACGAGGTATGCTTTACTGCGCTTGGATGAGATGTGCAGATCTCTCCCTTTTTATAGTAGTAGAGATCGATTCTACAGCACTCTGTCTTTGAGTTGGTTACTAGGATTATACCAAATTCGTGCCGGGATCGTGTCAGGATCTAGAAAGTATTGGGCAGGGGTCGGCCGACCTATAGTCGCTCGCACGCGTGCGACTATTAATAACTCACTAAATAGTGCGATTATTATTAAGTCGCAAGGCATAACTCTTAGGCATTAACCTATATAGATTTTGTAGTAGAATTTAGTGTAGAATAGTATAGACCTATGCTAACAAATCTTAAATATCTACCCTTCTAAAAGCAGTCTCTAGCTCCGCCTCTTCTACGTATTCGTTATAGGTAGGCAGATTACTATTCAAACTGTCGCTTATAGCCTTATAGACTGCGCTTTGTAATAGCACTATAGTATTAGCTACTGCGGCGGCTTCTTCTTTATCTATTATCTTGTTCTATTTAGCTATAAACGTATTACCTACTAGGGCAGTAGTACGCTTCCGTTTCTTAGTAGATAGATCTAGCTCCTTCCGAAGGACTCGATAGTTAAAGTAGATAAAGATTAGCTAGTTAAGTCGCTCTATTATAAGCCGAGAACGAAGCCTAGTCTATATTAGCTTAAGGGCTAAGAACGTCCGCTCGGCGGTAATAGTATTAGCAATAGTTTAATAAAGCCGTAAGGCATAGTCCGATAGCAAAGATAAGGCAGTAGCTCTATAGCTCTAGAAGAGCTTTATATTAGTGCTATAGCGTAACTAGCACTCGTTAGAAGCAATAAAGGCGTCTCGCTAGTAGATATAGTCGTAGAAGTCCGACTTAATCGACAGCTGCTTATCTACTTCTAAGGTTGTTAAGCGTAAGGCGTTAAGGATAATCGCTTACTTAGTAGGTAATAGTCTAGCGCCTTAACTAACTATAGAAGGGTTAAGATAATAGGCCGCCTAATAGTGCTTATTTACCTATCGTAAGAAGCGCTCTTACTAGCCTATAATCGTAGCTACTAACTTCCGTATATTAAGGACAAATTAGACACCTTCGAGTAGCTCTCGGATTAGTAGTAGACTCGTATTAATCTACTTCTCGAGAGTAGCTTTATAGCTAAACTACCGAGGTATTACTTTGTCTATTATAGCCTCCTTTAACTAAGATAGAATAAGCTAATTATTTAGCGGCTCTAGCAGGTCGACAGCGGCTTAAAGATTAGTCTAGAATATATAGTCTGTTATTGTAAACCGCGCCTCGAAGTCTAGTATAGAAGCACGGTTACGGACTAGCTCCTAAAGGGTATACTTACTACGTAGAAGTGACTTAAACAAGGCAATTATAGTCGGCTAGCGAGTCTTATATATACTAATTAGCGAGAAGGTCTTGCCGTAGATTGCTACCTGCTTCTTCTTTAAGAGCTAATATATCGCCTTCTTCCGTAATAGGTAAGAGACGACGTATTACGCCTCGTCGTAGAGGCCTTTTATTTCCGGATGTTTAAAGAAGTCTCTTATTAACAACGCGCCGCCGTATAAGTCGTAGGGCACTATAATAACGTAACTAAGGTCCGGATCTTCTTCTAGTAGGCGTATTATCTTTAGGTTAGTAGCATACGTATCGAAGGCAATTAAGCTAACCTTCGAGAGGTTACCGCCGGTAAGCTACTCGCACTTTACCTTCGCCTAGCGCGCGCCTTCTTTAGCCGATTTATCGACTGTTTCTATCTAACGCGTCTTAATCGTATAGTAGCTAGTAGAGTCGACGAGCGACAAGGTAGTAACGCCTATTCTATTGCCGTTAGAGGTACTATTAATCTGTAGATTTAGCTCGTCGTAATACGCGACTTTAGCTAATATCTTCTCTTCTAGTTTCTCGAAGTGCCGTAGTAGTAGAATACGTCGAATTCGCGTCGCATTCGGAGGCTCGAACGAAGGGTATAGGGCGGTAAACAACGCCTTTACTACTATCTTCTCGAAGAAGCTAAACGGCTTATTTTCCTCGAAGTATACCGTACCGCATAACTCCTCGAGATAGTCGTACTAAGCGGCGGTTAACGCGACCTACGGCAATTTAATCTATTCCGGCGACGACGGCAGTTTACCTATCCTTTACGCCTCTATCCGCTTCTTATACTTCGCGATATGCTCCTTATTCCGCGTTAAGTCCTTTATATTGTTGTAATCGCAGAAACGACAAATAATACGCCGCTTTGCCCTATAGTCGTTATATTGCTTAAAAAAGCGGTATACGATGTTGTTAGGCTTAGCTATTAGAACACGTAATAGGAGGCGACAATAAGGATAACTAAGCGACAAGAGATGCTATCGGTATAGCGACAACAGCGACGACGAGGTCTAAGATAGAAGAAATATAAGAATATACTAGAGGACGCGATTTCGACGCGATTTAGTAGAAATCTATATACTATACTATATAGGTGTTAACCTAGGTATAACCTATATAAAACACTATACAAATAACCTATAATAGGTCGCTCGACGTAACGCGCGTACGATTAACTATAAGTCGCTCGAATCGCCGACCGCTAGTATTAGGGTTGCTCTAGGCTTCTAGCTTCTACGTCGAGAGCTAGTATTGCACGGTGTATAGATGTATCTATTGCCCGCATTAAGAGCTAATGCGGTCGCACGCGTACCCTATATAGATCTCTTATAGTAGGCTATAAGACAGCCTAATTCTAATACGTCCTATTTATTATCCGATTGCCTTTCTCGCGAGGCAAAGAGCGAAACTCTAATCTATAGCTAGAGAGATATTTATAGCGTTCGAAGTCTAGTCGATGCTTAAGCCTCGAATTATACCCTAATTCCGAGACCGCGTACGCCGCCCGAGTAGAAGGTTGTAACTCCGAACAGCTTAATATAGGCATAGTCTGTTTCTCCTATTAGATAAACTCGTAGTCGTAGGGCTCGGAGGCTATTCTACAGGGTAGAGAGAAGTTAGAATATACCGAAGCTTCGAAAGTGTAGTTAGACAGCCTCGACCTTACAATCCTCTTCGATCTTCGATCTTTTAATCTTCTACTACAACTTCGCCTATAGAGATCCGACTCGTTAATAATTCTTGTCCTCTATTATTCGCTAGACGGCAAGTATGTATACTTGCTCTTTTACTTTGTTACTATAGATAATTATTCTAGACACCGAGAGTTTGTCTACTTCTAGATTTTTATCTACAACTAGTCCTCTAATATATAGTAAATCCTATATCGAAGATAAGGGATGAGGTCCGTAACTAGCCGGCTAGGACAGATACCGCATTCTAGGCTATCTCCGGTTTAGACCCTTACTAACTAAGCGTAAGGAAGTGTAGTAGGTATAGGTCTTCTACCTACCTTCTACTACTATGCTCCTTCTACTACTACTACTACTACTACTACTACTAATCTATATCGGACTACTACGCGACCGGACCTATACTACTATACTAACCTCCTTGCGCTAGCAAGGGTCTAAGGACAAATGTCGCAAAGCTATAGAGGCAGTCCTTATAAAAATACTAGGTTATTAACTAGCGTAAAATCTCGTAATTTAGCACTCGCATCTTATTATCCCGTTAATTCTGAGTTATTCTATATATATAGTATTTAAATGCAACGCGTAGTTATCAAGAAAATAAGTAATATTTAATATAGGTAGCTATAGATATACGACGGGTTAGTATAGTATCTAACTACCTAATATCTAATACACGAAATACACACATCTAAGACTAGGAGATTGTAGAGCGACTATTTCTAAATACTGTTTGTATAGACTACGTATATCCCTAATGCCTACCTACTAAATGCTAGCCCTCGAGCGAAGCTAACTTATTTACTAGAATTAAGACCTTCGAATATCGATAAGCGACAATACGGAGGTTGTAGAGCGGCTATTTCTAGATTACCTTAATGCGAGCGATACATGCGTAGAGCGTAGTATTATTATATTGTGTCTAAGTAGCGGAGGCTATTTAGCTAGCTTAAATCTATCGATAAAAGCTAGTACTATAGGCTAGCATTATAGGCTAGCACTATAGGCTAGCACTATAGGCTATTATAGATTATGCTTATCGCTAATTGCGCTCCGTTCTACGCTAAGTAGTAGAAGATTCTCGTATACGGCTTCCTATAGGTTATCGTTTATCGCGCTAATTAATATCGTATATACTGTATTAATCGATCTTGTGTTTATAGAGGTGCTACTACTGCTACTGCTACTACTACTATATATTAACGAAGTCTTGTCGGCGTTGCGACTAATCGTACTGTCTTTGTATATAAATCGTAAGTCGTAAACTA